AAATGTTTAATTTTTATATAGGTAGGGAAAATATAATTTTTATATAGGTAGCGTTTAGAATAAGTAAAATGTTAATGTTTTCAAGATTTTTTACATAAACAAAAGATTATATGATTTATTGTATGATTGATTGTATGATATTGATTAAAAAAAATGTATTTAGAATTAAGTGCATGCACAATCAAAGATATTAAATAAAGTAATGTATCATAGAAATGTAGATATTGTAGACACGTAGATGGGTTCTGTTTTGCTTGTAGTAAAATTAAGTAGTGCTTTTTGAGAAGCTTATTTGGCTTATTTTTTTTTTTTTTTTTTTTTTTTACGCTTTTCACTATCAATCATTTTTCAATTTCATATTGATGGAAGTGTAAAATATTGATTGAGAGTCTCTTAATATAAATTTTATTTTCAGTCTTAGTCTTCCGCGTCGGTTTTTTTTTTGTAACTCCTTTTGTTGCTCGTATTGCACAACGACCGAAAGTTTGAACGTTTTGCAAACATACACCGAAAGGAGAATTTGTTATTTGTGTAATAAATAAGTTTTCTTTTAAAAGGAGGGTGGATGGGACGGCGTGGTTAGGGTGGGTCTCCAATTCGCAGCAACCTCCAAGCGGTGAGACCTGGGAAATCATATTATTTGATATACAATATATAATTATTGTCATTGTATAGCTAATGTCGATGATACAATTATATATTTTATAGGAAATAATATGAGCTAATTGGCTGCGATCGCGATTATATTTTTCACAAATAGAGTTTTTTATTTTTTAAAATGAATAATATTCTCGTTTCATTCTTGAATATTATAAAGTTTAAGATTTTTTTTTCTTTGTATCTTTGAATAATAATATTAGTAATTAATTTCATAGTAATATTAGTAATTAATTTCGTAATTAAATTTCGTAATTAAAATACGGTACGTTAGATGGCATAGCATTGATCTCTTTAGGTTTGTATTTCAGAACATATGGAAAGTAGTCCCATAAGATATCGAGTTAATCTATCTCGTCTGTATATCGTTGTACTTTTTTCTAATTCTGTGAAGTTGGCGCTGATTTCCAAATTTGTATCCTATTTTTATCTTTGTTTTTTGTTTGTTGTTGTTGCTCTTCTTGTTTTTACTTTGTATTGTATTCTATTTTATTCTATTTGTTGTATAAAATTTATAGAATCATAAAATGGCGTTGATCCTTAATTCTTGATCTATTGTGTATTTAGAGAAATGGTTTTGATGATGGAAATATGGTGATAATGTCTATTGTTACTTTTCTATTTTTCTTCTATTATTAATTATCTCACCTTATTTATGTTAATTTTATATATAGATGACACTATAGATGGTATTAAATTTGAAATTTTTACTTGTCTGTCTTTTTCCTACTATTTGTTGTTTTTGTGTATTTTTTTGCTTTCGATCATCACGAAGTATGAGATATTATTTAAAATATATATTTTTATCAATTTTCTTACAAAATTGCAATATAATTTTATCCTAATCTTTCATTGTAAAAAATATAGCTCTTATATTTTCAACTTTAAAATATATCTCTAGGCAATTGAAAGTATAACTCGAAGGAAATTAGAAGGAATTTTTAAATATTTTATCAAGAAACGATATTATCGAAAATTTGTTATCGAATTCATTCTTTCATTTTTCTAAATTTTATAAAATATTGCTAAAACATGCAGTACAATATTGTAATTGTGCGTATTTCTGTCCTGTATTCTATGATAGTATAAATATCCTCTATTTACCTATTCTATTTTATTCTTCTATTCTATTCTATTACCTATTCTATTCTGTTCTATTACCTATTCTATTCTATTGCGTGTAGAAGATTTGATACTTGTAGATTTAATTGTTTCGTTTAATTTTTGAAATAAACAGTGATTTACTTTTTAACAATCTCATTAAAACGATAAATCAATATTTAACCGTGATAATTTGTAATTTGATATATTATTAATGACTTTATATTAGATATAAAAATTCTTACCGTGAAGAGTGTATTTGTTGTCTGATCCTGAACAAACCAAAGGCCCACCACTGTCTCCCAAACAAGCATCTCTTCCGCCATCTTTCAATCCAGCACAAAGCATTCCTGGTGTGATTCTGTATAATGGAATGAATAATGTTTTCCTTCGACACTCTTCCGTCGAGATCACAGGAAGTTGCACTTCTTGCAGGGTATCCGCTGTTCAAAAAAATATTTTATTAATCCATATATTTTTATAAATATTCTAAATATCCAACAAATAATTATATTTACGGAATATTCTTCCTATTTCGAATAATTGTCCCCAACCCGTAACAGTGCACATAGTACCACTTTTCGGCTCTGATTGTGGAAGACATACAGGTCGAACGTAGTCGCTGAAGGTTACTGGTTCTTCGAGTCTCAACATCGCTATATCGTTTATAAATCCATTGTCGATGTAATCAGGATGCAGAGATATGTGATCCAAACGTAATACTTGCTCGTACGGACTTGGAAAGCTTCCTCTGCGAGTAGCTCCGATTCTCGCCACCCAATATTCGTCTTGAGCACTGCGAGAGATGTTGAAATAGTTAGCTACTTGATTGTTATTTTTCAATTTTTAAATTCTGTCTTCTCTTCTATCCATTCTGACACGTCTTTTAGGAACTAATATGATATATGAATATTTTATTTTCAGATTAAAGAGAGAAAAGTTATAATACTGATTCTTCTCTATTGATATTCTCTAATAAAAGTTGTACAAGAAGATACATATTCGAGTAAGTATAATAATAATATTAATAATAAATAAGAATAATAAAAAAGATAATATTTATTTTATTTAAGTTTTATATTATTTAATTTATATCTTTTTTTATTTTCGTAATACATTGTTATTATTTATTTACTCACTGGTAAAAACAATGTGCTGCGGATAAAATCCATTTTTCATTGATGAGAGCTCCTCCACATTGATAATCACCTTCTTTGTACAGAGCAACTTGCCATGGCCAACTTCCAGCTGAAGAGCTACCACCGCCAACTATCCTGGAACGTCGTGAAACATTCGACCTGTTTCAATGTATACATCTTAAACGAGTATGCACATTCAGCAGCTTTTATTGCAATTTGTATTTTAAAACTACAAACACGTTTATATATTTTTTCTCAATTATTCCTAACTTATTTAAAATTTCATTTTATACAAATGATTTCCATTATATTCAATGTTTAAATTTGAATATTATTTATTCACAAGATTTCAGAAGCGTTTTCCACCAACGCGTTTAATTCTCAAGCTTAAGTAAAATATTTTCTAAAGATAATACATAATTCAAGAATACCTCAATCATTTATTTAAATTGAATAAAAAACGGAATTTACTATTTCGTTTATAATTATGAAAACAAAAGGAGGATAAGTCCAATTATTTTCGATTATACACGAACCGGTTTTTTCCGCAATAATCATTAGCTTTAAATTATCAATGATTTTAAACTATCATTGATAATTTGATTCGTCATTATATCATCAGAAAAAGAAAAAGTGGTTAAGTTTGCCAAGTTTTGACTTAATGTAATATTTCTCGTGTTCCGATAAAAATTTATGATTGTATCACGGTATAGTTATTTATTTCGAACGATAAAGATCAGGATAATTTTAATTTTATGCAGATTATTCGTAAATTTTTTTACGATCGATATATTGTTATCATGGTGGTGTACAAAGGTCATTATACTCGGCTGCATTTGTATACAGATAGTTTTGCAAGTGATCCGACCAACGTGTAATTATGAGAAACTGGTTCAGTGAATGTGTACCTGGCTTGCGATGGCGCCTGCGTTCTTATACCACATTCAAGGTTCTTGCACTTGACCCTGAGGACCTCGCCACTCGGGCATTTCGAAGGTTTGAAAGTCAAGATCCTTTTATCGACAGGTTTCTCGTTATAGGAGAGTGTATAATACGATCTTCCAGGTGTTGGATTTTCGTCCAACACTTTTTCCACGGATTCGTAATCTCTGAAAAATGTTTAAATATCGATAATATATTTATTGCATTTTTCATTATCAATGTATCAATTTGAAGAATTGTTTTATTTAAATACAACACTATATATATTTAAATAAAACAAAAAGGTATAAACTTTTAAAAAAAAAAAAATAGATTCTTTTTTACATAGTCTTAAAGGATATAGAATGTTAGAATTCTAAAAATTATCAGAATTACAATTGTTGAATGATAATTATTTATTTATATTATATGGAACAAAATTTTTTTTAGCTACAAACGTAGCGAAAAAAGAATACTTTGGCAAGATGTATAAGAATTATTATGAATACTTACTGATACGTAATCGCTTTACAAACAGCTCTGCCGAGATCTTCGATAGTCCAAGCAGTTTGTCTTTCTTGCAAGAGATGGTCCATTCCATTCAGACACAATTTCCCCCATTTCCCATTCTTCCTGATATTCAAGTAACCTTTTTCATTGTAATTATTGATTTCCTTTTTCAAATTTATCATCGATGCGTTTTTCGCGTTCAAATGGATCGAGTTTCCATGCGGCAAGATGTTCTTCGCGTTCGACGATATTTCCCTTCCGGAGACGAGGATCGTACTACCGTTAACACGTTCACGATTATTAAGAAACGTATTCTCTTTCATCATCGATTCATCCTTGGTGCTTATAATTTTTTCTAATCGAATATCATCTTGGAACGAGGCGTGTAAAGTGGTTGACTCTAAAATGGAGGATTCCACCGCTTCTTGATCGTAAAGGAGGATGTCCTTGTCAGTTGTGGATTCTATTTCTGAGAGATGTCCTTGAGATGATGGATGTTCATCTTTGGTTACGATGGTCCCTGGATTATTATCGTCCTTAGCAAAGATACTCGTTTCTTCGTAATTTAACGTTGAATCGTCTTCTATCAGCGCCGCGCATTTTTTCTCGTCCTCCCCACCTGGACAGTCTGTATAACCGTTGCAAACTTTGTCTTGGTTTATGCAGGTTCGACTGTTGCCGCAAACGAATTGTCCCTCTTCGCACCAATCTAACGATTAAACAAATTAAAATTGAGAATATAAATTTTTAACAAGCCCTCGAAGTAGCGATTAGTAATTTCGCATCGTTTATTTAAAATGATTGATATCGAAATATTTCTTTTTACATACGTATATTCATTTTAAATTTATTAAAATCCAATTTTTATATAGGTTTTTATTCTGCCATTCTTTTTTAATCCGTCATATAAGTGTTTTGACTTCAAGATCGTGAACAAAAAAACTTGCATTTTGCAATATTCACGGTTTATATTTTATTTATAAACGATCGATAAGTACCGCAATCGGTTTCGTCCGAATAATCCCAACAATCTGCCACGCCGTCACAAATCTTTTGATGTAAGAGTTGCGCCTTTAAAAAGTCGGCGCACGTACAATTCATTTCGTCCTCTGAATTCGAGCATTCACCTAACATGTTACATCTACCGCTAGAAGACAGGCATTTCCCATCTCTGCATTGGAAACCGGAACAATGATCTGAAAAAACGTGTGATATTTCTTGAGAATCTTAAATCACGAATAAAATCGCCAACAACTCAATAATGAAACATTGAGAAATGTAAATAAAGTAATTTAAATTCTTCGATACTCTCCACAATTCCAATCCATAAGTTAATTATACAGGTAAATATTTATGATTAAAAAAAAGATATGAATATGTTTGGGATTAAAAATATTAAAAACTAGAGTTCAACTTGTAAATTAAGCGAAGAAAAAGAATTGTAAATACAAGATATAAATTGACGCAATATTAATCATTAACATATTGGATATTAAAAGAAACTGGTATTATAAATGTATATTAGAATTAATTTCGAATGTTTATTTCATCTTATATATTCACCGTAATTATCATTATCGGTTGACATTTTTTCCTTGAAATTAATTCCATCGTGTTTAATTGATGATAAATAATTAATCATCAACCAAACGTCCAACATTGTTAGTGATTTAAAATCAGAAAATAAAATTACCAGCTTCTAAATTTTCTTCGGTGCTGGAAATCATTTTATCGGTACGATCCTCCATTTTATTCAAGATTTTCGTTAATATTTCGACACCATCACGAGTCATCGTAAATCCCGCGCTAGAATTCATCAAAGTTTCGTTCCCTGTCGCGATATCTGCGATCTGTTTCAACTTCTCGAAATCGGGCAATGGCCGATGATCTTCCTGCTCGATATTCGAGACATTCCCATGAGATTTGGAATTATCTTTCCCCTTTACAGGCTCATTTTCCGCTCCAATATCCGCGAATTGCTTCAATCTCTCCAAAAGAGATCTATTCTCTTCGATCGTTGATATTTTTCTATCCGACGTTAAAGATGGCGTCTTGTTCGATACTCTATCTCCGAACGATCGATTTTCTTCCTTATTATTCTTCTCCAATACGGAGAATTGTTCAGGCACTGATATCTGAGAAGACGACACTTGTTCTCCATGCAATTCCGAATGTATAACTGGAAGGGAGGTCGAATTGGTAACGACGAACTTCAATACGATAGGGTTTCCTTTAAAATTCGAGGACACTTTGGTGCTGATCGATGTCACCACTTCCACGATTTGTTCTATCTTAGGATGTTCCTTATTCGAGTCTTTCCCCTCGTTGTTCGTCGTTGATTGAAAGGCGATGGTGTCTCGACCGTTGGACGAATTGCGTTTCGTCGTGTTCCTGTCACGGCTAGGTACGCGAAACAATCGGTCCAGAAGTTCAGAATCGTCTGAAGTGGTGTGATCGATCTTAGGTCTTGGCCTTACGGGCCTGCCGATTCCTGTGTTGCTCTTGGCAGGCGCAAGAGTAACTAAATTCTCCACCACGTAAGCTTTCAAAGTGTCGTTATAAATCTTCTTTCTTGTCTCGAGGGAATTGTACGGTCGATTCACGGTTCCATTGAAAAGTCCTTCCTTTTTCGTCGATGATTTGGAGGAATCGTCCTCTTCGTCCTCCCCTGGCGTGTGCTTCAACGTGTCGATCTCGATGAAGGTGGAATTCCTCGAAATGTTGGACGTTAATCTCTCTTTATTTCCTTCGTTTCTTACGACTAATTTATCAACGTTATTGTACAACGGATGTATCATCTCCGAATAAACTTCCGTGGTGCTTAACTTGAGAAACTTTTCATCGTCTATTATACTCTCCGTATTTAATTCGATTGGACGCGTCCCTCCGTGTTCCTCGATCCTCGAATTCTTCGTAGAAACCGTTTCGGAATCGTTGCTCGTCTTCTTGAAAGTTTCCAATTCTATGATTTCCTTCAAATTTTCTGGAAGAATCTTAATCGTCTCCTTGTTATTTCCTTTACTTGAGTTTACGCTTAATTGGCTAGCCTCGGTGAATCTCTCTTCTTGATTTATTATGCTATCCGTCACAGTGTTTATTTCTTGCTTTAACGATCCCTCTTCGTCTCTCTTACTGTAATCAACGACAGATGTAATTTTGTCCACTGGTATCGTGTGCCTGAATGGTTTCAGAGTGCCGGAACTCTCTATTAAACTCGGCCTCATCCCACCTCCATTCAAATCGGGAGTCTTATAGCTCGTATATATCGGCTCCTGCCCGTTTTTGTCAACTTTTCTATCCTTCAAAGCGTTATTCTGCTGTTTGTCCATGGCCTGGACCTCCGTATACCGATTTCTCGGTTCCAATTCAACGTCCACATCCGGAACCGGCTCCGCAACCCCCACACCCGACACTTTCGTCGTCGATTCCTCGTAATCGAATTGAACCGGCCATTTTTGAGTACTAGAGATGACCGAAAGTAAAAGATTATCCGAGCTTTCTTTATCCTTCGCGCTACTTTGATCCATCTTCTTTTTATTCGTCTTAATAGAATCGTTAGGCTCCTTAACAGCGTCATCTTGCTTAATGGATTCTTCGTATCTAGTATCTGCGATTAATGAGCCAGCAACTCTCCAACCGGTTTCATTTTCGTTCGTGGACGGGTGAGGTTTCGTGGAAGAAAATTCCAAAGGTTGAGAAGAAGAAAATCCAAAAGGTTTGGAGGACGTTCGAAGTTTGACGTCGTAAGTTTCGGATGGCAATTGGCCGGAAACCTCTATATCCGGCCTCTTGTCGTCCAATTCGATTGGCGACGATTCCGTGAACATCTGTCCATCCTCTAACAATCCTGGAATTTTGTTCTTAAATTTTCCATTCACTCTGAAATTCACCATTTCTTGAGGGACGATCCTGTCTCGTGGAAAATCGGTGTCTCTGATGTCGAATGTGCTCATCCCGGGAACGTCCGCGTACGAATTTAATATTCCCAATGGTTCGGAAGGTTTGGTCGGTATTTCAGGGATTTCCCCTTGGACACTGTACTGGGGTGTCATCTTTATGGACGTGTCGGAAACCACGTCTCCGACATTGGCGTTAGTATAATTTACCTTGTAATTCGTTTCAGTTTTGTAATTTGTTTCAGTTTTGTAATTTGTCTTTTCAACGTTGTCCGGCAATAATTTTAACTCCGTATTGATATATCCAGGTATGATAGGTTTCCACGGCGAAGTTTCGAAATCAGGATTGCGAAAATCTTTGAAGACGTCTTGGTCTTCCGTCTTGATCGTGGAAGCGGTGGTGGACGTGGTGATTTTCTTAGAAGATTGTGAATGAACGTTGCTAAACGATTCATCGTGCACGGTATAATTAAGTTTTTCGTTCATTTTGTTGGTCACAGTTTGCGTCACGGTTTGACTCGTCTCAGTGCTGTTTTTCATGATAATCGATTTGTTCGTACTTTGTTCCTGAGTAGGTAATAATGATACTTTGGTATTATTCTTCGTATCGGATTGAGCTTTCGCAGTTTCTTGAGTGGAATTCGTTTTGTTCGTGACGTTCACTTTTTCGGCTTTGTAGGTTCCTTGGATGGTTGGTATGTTGGTAAAATCGATGTCAGGCTCGATGGACTCGATCTTGGTCGGTTTAGATTTTGGTTTCGAGCTGGTGATCAACGAACTATTCCTGTTTGGTCGAAGAAGACCGTTCTTTGTGATCATCGCGCTCTTTTGTTGAGTTTGCTTCTGATTTCCTGGCACTTCTTGGTTTATTCCTAGAAATAATTGGAAATTAATTATAAATTAATAATTGGAGAATAATTGTAGTGGATATATATTATTTTTTTTAAAAGTTTTTTAAAATTTTTAATTTAAAAACATTTAATCTATCAGAGAATATGATTTTTGTTAAAAAAAAATTATGCTCACTTTTTATTGATATACTAGCGAGGTCCAGTTCCATGTCTTTGAATAAAGAAGACGATGAATACGTCTCTTTCACGATAATGTCTTCGATCGTATCCTCGATATTCGTGATCGATCGTGGTATTTTTCTTCTGTTTAAATATATCCTGAAGAATACCTTTAATATACCGTTTTCAAATTTGTCTATGATCGTTTGCTTGTAAGCGGTGCCCAACACGCTTCTTCTAAATAACAGTTCGAACTGGAAATATATCAGTTAATTTGTTAATCAATTTATTCATTAATTTTTAAATCGAAAAAAAATTTGAACGTATATTAAATAATTTGTCACTGTGCTTTGTTTATTTTTTTTATTCCAATTTTATTATTTCTATTTTAAATTTTTAAATTATTATAGTAATCAATACACTTACTATATTTTTATATTTGCGTTCCTTTTCGCGGAATACCATACTGGTATTTAATTTCAACATTGGATTATACTTTTCACCCTTAGCCACCCTGAAACTGCAGGAGAATCCAACGATCGCTAAAAATATTATTTCAACTAATATTATCGATATTCAAAAATCTATTTTATTATTTAAAATTTTGTAATAAATTTATGTTTAATGATAATATAATTTATATTTATATAAAATCTCAGTTCCAGTTTTTTCTGTGAAACTTTATTGTAAAGATAAAAAAAAGAAAAAGATAAAAAAAAGAATTAATCATAAGTTTGTAAATGCTTCATTAAAAAATTATAACAAAAAAATTACACGCTTAAATACGAAATGATTGATTTTTTATTACGTTTAGTAAAAGGTATATGTTATCGATTTATTGATAAAACTTAAGAAATTAATCATTTACGAATTTTTTTTTTATATTTATTATTTTCTAAGATGAATAAAAAGTGAATTTTTAATCGAAACTAAAGAAATATTGTAAGGAAATCTATACATAAGCAATAAATTTTTTTGGAATATATTTGCATAAAATATAAGTAAATAAAAGATAAAAAATATAAAAAAATTTGTTGAAAAATTATGTAAATAATGTAGCTTATATTATTCATTAATAATGTTAAACTAATGATTTATTTTTATTCAACAAAAAATAATCTATTGTCATTTCGTATTTTTGTTATAAATTTTTAATGAAACATATAAATGTATGTATAATATTTTTTTTTCTCCTATTTTTACAGAATATATTGTATAAAGTTTTTGTATGTTCTAATATACTATAAATCTTATTAATTGTGTAAATAAAATATCTTATAAATAATATAAAATACAATTTTAGATATAATTGTAATTAAATATTCAAAATTTATATTTCATTATACAATATTGCATTTTATTTTAAATTTATAAAATAATAAAATGTAATGCTTACCATTTTTTGAATCTGTTCGAAGAGCTGAAACAAAATTCATCTTTTCTTTAGAAATATATTTTAATCTATTTAATTATTTCTTATATATTATAAAATATTTATTGTTAAAATATAAGTTATGAACATACCTCCCATCCATAATGCAAGTCCTGCAATTGCAAAGACCGCGATTAATACTAGCATAGCGGAGATAATTAACATTGCGCTGCCGACTTTCCACGTTGTATTCCCCCTTTGTTTTTTCATTTGTTGTGGCGAAATCCTGGACCATGTCGTTGATCGTTGTGGTAAATAATAATCGTTCTATAAATGATAGAAAAAAAAAAAAAGATTAACGAAAGCTATTTATTCATCAATAAAGAAAATTTTATTGAAACAGAGTTTTATTCTACGATTGTAAATTCGATTTATCTTCGATTCCAAAAATTTTCATAGGATAATTATTATTATTCTACGAGCTTTGATTGATAAAAAATAAATTTGATATTTTTATTCCTTATTGTTTTCCAAATTTTTGGACGATGAATTATATTTTTCAATTTATATGTATTACATGAATTTATTCTAGTCTTGCAACAATCTTTGCAGCAATGTTCGTGACGTAAACTGTAATGTTTCGCTATAAGTTTAATTTATATTTAATTAAGTGAAAATGTTATGATGAAAATGCAATCTTCATTACTTATGTATATTCTTTTGAATCGAGCATATATTTATTGTTCGATAATCATCTTTATTCAACGATTCAAATAATCGGAATGCGTAATAAATTTAATCAGGTGTACAATAATACCAGTAACGGTACTGACATCGAGGAGGAATGCTAAAAAAAAAAAAAAAAAAAAGAAGGAAAAGGAAGAAAGTTCCAAAGTTGAGCACAGCAGGTGAGACTGAACAGAGAATTTAGTATATCACTTCGTTCAATGGCTCGTCGAATTTAAAATCGAATATAATTTTAAAATTTTTATTTGCAATTGGTTCAATTGCTATACAATTTAAGATATTATGTAAAATTTTCAAATATTTCATTGTTATTTTTAATTATTGTATTGTTACACATTTTCTAATAATTTCATGTTATATAAGCAACATGATTAAATCATTTATTAAATATATATATTTTACAATTTACATCATAAAGATTTAAGAAGAAAAAAAAAATAATATATTTTATTTTATTCATTTTTATTCATCCTAAATACTTATATAATACAGTGTTCTAATTAAGAAACTAAAATGATTTTGCAAGTTCAGAATTAATAAAACCTTATCTGAAGATACTTCATACATTCGGATTTACTATTTTTTATTCATACAAGTTTCGATAAACGATGTTTCAAGATACATTCACCCGTTACAATCATGATTCTTCTATAAGAAATCAGAAAAATGTGATGATCAGATTAAGAGCACATTCCAAGAAAATAAAATTTATGCATGCGTTGGCATACATAATCGAAGTAAACAGAAAAAGAAAAAAAGGAACAAGTGTACTTCAAGGCTCGGTTAATAGACCAATCCAACGTCATGGTTCGTTGCTACGCAAGATTTATCATAGAATCGAATCATCGATGTTGATACGTGAAAAAAGAAACGTTTGAAGAACATGTTTCGGAATCATTCATTTTAAATGAGAAAGATTACTCGAGTAATTATAATATTATTTCTTTGCATTCTTTGCTATTTTTTAAGTAAATATACTTTTCGATCGATCAAAGTAATATTAAAATATTAAAATTCGATTTATTTTTTAAAATATATAATATAAAAATAAATTTATATTATATAAACGTATAATATGTGGAAAAAATAAATTGAAATTTTATATTATTAATCGATATATAGTTATATATGTATACATATATATAATAATTAATGATGGGACTTTTTGTGTTTTAATATATCATTTTCTCGTATTCTATTACTCGTAGTATACTTCGTCCCATCACTAGTAACTGATCTCTTGAAGTATATTATGCTTAAAAAACATTGAAGGTCGTCTTGATAGCCTTTAACATCTGATCTTGGGTTGATTCAACGCGACTTGATGTGATATTTAAGTATAGATCGAGAATGAAAAATAATTTCATGTTCATGGATACGATAGAAACTTCATGGCCACATAAGATGGAGAAGGCAGTGTGTACGGTGAGGTCGTTGCCTTTAAAAATGGAGAACCGAATCCTTGAAGAACAAGCTCTGACGCAAGCTGAATATCATTATCTGGAATATCATTATGTGGAATACGTAATTCTTTTTTTCTCTTTTTCTTTTTTTTTTTTAATATTAGTTACATATAAATTAATCGTTGCAGTTTATTAATCTATATGGAGAAAAGCACAGAATCTTTTAATTTTCGTTCTTAATTATCAAATTTCTTAAATTCTTAGATTTCGGATTTTTTGTTTTCAATAAAATAATTTGCAAAATTATTCTTGTTTAAAGTTATGTCATAATTAAAATATTCTATCCGGTAATAATAATTTATTTTATCAACTGCTAATAATTTAATAATTTAACTGCTAATAAAAAATATTGTCTATATTCATAATATTATATATATTATATAATATTGTCTATATTTTTTGAAAAAGTTATATTTATATATATATTTCAAAACGGTGATTAAAATTTAGATATTTTATAGAGACAGAGAAAAATGACAATAAAAATAAGATATTATTTTTATAAAATGTTTCGAAATGTTAAGGAATGAAAAGAGATAGTAAGTATTTTCGATATAATTGATTACGAGTTATATTTAATTATAATCATTGTAGATTGAAGTAGAATCAAAATATTAGATAATTTTCAAATTATTTTTAATTAATTAATCTTCAGTAATATTATATTAAATCTGATATCTTAGATTAATATCAAATAGAAAAGTAAGAATTGAACATATAATAATCTTTTTATATTTATAATCTATTTATAATTTATAATATATTATATTTATAATATATAATATTTATAATATATTATATTTAGCACGAATATACAAATTTAATAATAGTATATTAATTAACATTAATATAGCATAATTTCTAAGAATAATTTCTAAGAAAATTTATACAACCAAGTATTTCAAGAAAAATTTCAAAGTAAACTTGACGATTATTTATTTATGATTTTTAAATAAAAGATTTAAAGGTTTAAAACAATTTTTTTCCTGTAATATAATATATTTTTTACGTAATCAGTCTTTTTTAAATTTTTTAAAAATATTTCTTAAAATTCTCAGTCTCTATAACATATTTAAAAATCATCACAAAATGAACACATGACACATGGATGAATAGATCGAAAATTTTGTTCTCGATATTCTATATACCAAAAGAATTAAAGAATAGCTCTAGTGATCAAGTTTTTGGAAAACACTGACCTGAATCTATCACATCGATTCAAGTCTGTTAAAAGATCACATCATTTTCTTCAAGCTCTCTTCTAATATCACACCAAAGTCCATCAAGGCTAATTACGTTATCGAGTTACCATTGAACATGACCAAATACATTGAAATTCGTGATAAGTTTATCAACACTGACAACAATTAATCTAATCGTAAACACTATTCTCATGTGGATCCCTGAAGGGAGCGTGTTCGTTAAAATCGTGTATCGAGCAACAGCATCGAATCAAAAAGCGTTCTATATAAGATTAGATTGCCAGTTTGCCGAGCGAATCGAATTGAAAATCTTACGGCCCGGAATTCCGCGTTGTGTGTTGTCAGATGCACCGTTAAGGGTTTATCGATGTCGTGATTTCATGAGAAGTATCGTTTTGCACCGTTTCTGCCCGTGTTAACTGCTGCACACCTATCAAGATGGTCACGTATACGAAGGCAAGCCAACAGAAATCGCTATGCAAAAGATGATAATCTCGTTTCATGGTAGAGGAAAATTCTCGCGATTTTTTTGTGATTTTTTTTTTTTAGAATCGGTTTTGGTTTGAATAGAATTCGAGATGATTGATGAGATGATTGGTTCGTCGCAAAAGTGTTTATATTATTGGCAAATAAAAAGTTTAATATTCATAATATATTTGGTTTGATTTTAAAAATTGTAAATTTGAATCGTTCAGAAGTTTTTCGACATATTGATTTTTGCAGATGATTAGTTATGATAAAATAAATTTGGATTAATTCTTGATACAGATTACTCCGTGATAGTTCTTTGTTCGTTTCAAAAACCGTGTGTTTAATTTAATTGAAATAATAAATTGAGTTTAATTTATAATTAAATTATATAATTAAGGTCCATGGAATACTTTTTTTGCTTGTATTATTTTTAGATAATGTTGAAATACCGTGATTGTTGAAGTAAAAAAAAATAATAGTTCCAATAAATATCAAAGTATTTTTTTAGATTTTAAAGAAAGAAAAATTTTTGATAATATATTGTCATAATAAAGTTTTATATTTTGTCAGGTTGAAATTAATTGTTTCATGAAAAAAATTTCATAAATTCATAATTTTTATAAAAATCTAGCACACGACAATTTTGTTTATGGAAGGCACATGTTGAATTTCGCGTAGATTTTCGAATCTCATAAATAAAAAAAATTTAGCAGAATTCTTAGAACTTTATATAACTAAATGATAATGAAGATAATAGTCTTAACAATACGGTATATTTTAAATTACAACTAAACTTCTTCATTATGTGTTAAATAACGCACGTTGCATTTACAAGACAAAGAGTTAGCGGGAAAAAATATTGAGGAAGTTACGAGTTCATAAAGATCCATTCTTTATGGGCGTTCCTTGATTTATTTATCTTTTCTCATTAGCATCATAATAGAAATGAGAAAAATTCACATTTGGAAGCGTGATCATTTATATTTTTTTTATTATATTTTGAAAAATTAATTAATACAAAAATGAATATATATCTCGAATGTACTTATGTTTGCTTCTTTTTTGGATCTGATTGTTCTCATATTCCTGAATTTATTAAAATATTCATGGATTCATGATTTTTCACATTCTAAAAGATAAATTTGTATATAATGAAATAAAAATTAAATGCTGATGAGTATGTAATTTTTTTTTAATTTTATGTATGTTTTTCTTCTGAAAAATTGATCAATTATTCGAAATAAGCAAGCTTTATTGTCAAACTCGTTCTAATCGATCGCATTTTGTATGAATTTTTAGGCAATTTGTGATATCATTCTGCTAATACTTTTTCTCTTTCATCATTATTTCATATTTTATAGATTTCCAATTTTAAATATTTTATAAGAGATGTCATTTTTAATAATCCTCGTTAACGATTGTTATTTCATTATATTTTATTTATACGATAAATCTTGTTTACAAAAGATTTGATATTACGATCAATTTATTTGTGACTCAGTTAACGACCATTCAAATAACCATCTGTGTTGCAGTTATCTAATACAAAAGAGATTTTTAAAATTATGATATACATATTTCCAAAGCAAGGCCATATCGAAGTATATAAACTCATTCCACATTCTAATAAATAGAATTCTTTTAGTATTCGCTTGCATTGAATGTAATACATTTTGAACTATATTCAGAAGAATCTTGAGAGATTATTGGCAAATAAAAGGTCACTGATAAACGACCAATTTGTAATACATAAAGTGATTTATATATGTATTTAAATTTCTTTATGAAATTGTTCAATCTGATGTGAAACAAAAATAATAAATTTTAACATTCGACTGTGCGTATAATGTATGTTTTCCATTTGTTTTGTTCACGTGTCGACTTCTCGAATCGTGAATGATTCGTATTCTTAAATTTTTTAGTTAAAATCGTATTAAAAAAAAAAAAAATCCATCGTCGTATCAATTTTTAAACATGATTTTACGATTTGAACTCTAACCTATGTCTGTTACATATGATAAAAAAGTTTAACTCAATTATGATTGGTCGTTGAAGATATATTAAGTAAAATATATATAAATAAAAGTATATATCTAGACAGAAATTGTTAGATATTTAATAGAAGAAGAATAGTAAAAAAATCAAATAGTGAAAGAAGATAGTTAAGTGGTGTGATTAATATAATTTAACATTTAGTATGATTTTTGTCAAAAAGACATTTGTTACTCACAGTTGAGATTATAAAAGTGAAATTGTTAAGTATAAAGAAGCGTGATTGATTTTAGTGCTGTAATATAGAAGAAATATAACCTTTTGGTGCATGACTATCTTTGTGACTATAAAAAATGATGATGAATTATTTCGGAATGATCTTTATTACCATTATTCTTATAATGTCGTGCATCTTATACAAAACGAGCAGAACTTTTCGTTATTATTTCAAATATGTCATCTTTAGTCTACATATAGGAACATCTACAGCTTTTTTAATTCCAATTTTTATATTTCGACCAAGAAATGTGAAAAACTTACGGTTAGTAATCATCTACTATTTTTTTAGAGAATAAAACTTTTTCCCTTGAATATTTTTCTATATTTCATGTCATTTTTTTTTTTTTCTATTACACCAATGTTTGAATATCTATCAATTTTTATTTTATTATAGAACAAATTCATTAAACTGTAGATATATTGATTGCAATATGATCTTTAAAGAATCGATTCCAAAGACTAAAACAAAAACAAAAATTAATGTAGAAAAATTTTCAAGTTATTTGTTTGTTAAGTAATAATTCAAAAAGTTTGTATTGCATGAAGTTGAATGAAAAGTATGATAGAATAACACTATCTCCATCTCATTTTATTTAATATAAATTTAAACTTGCTTATAATTTGATTATAACATAAATAAATTATGTTATATATGTGTATTTAATCGAAATTTTTATTTTATGTTTAGAATCGATTCTTTTAAGATATCTTACGAATATATTAATTATGCTATATATAATTATTGTATTAAATTTCGTATTAATATAAGTTTATTTATAAATATATATCATAATGTGTAATATAATTTTAGATTACTAGCAATGGTAGTAGCTCCTATTACTAAAATCATCGGAGTAAGTTGGGAATTAAGAGGAAGAGAAATATTGGAACAAGACAGAACATACATAATAGTATCAAATCATCAAAGTCTTTTAGATTTCTTGGGAATGTATCAAATATGGCCAATAATGAATAAATGCACAGCTATAGCGAAACGAGAGATTTTCTATTTGTGGCCATGTGGTTTAGCTGCTTGGCTTGGTAGATTAATATTCATAGATAGGATGAACTCAGATTCGGCTCGAATTGTTCTTAATAACGCCACGGATTATATTAAAGAACACAATGTAATTTAATAAATGTTATGTACAAAAATGTTACGTAAATGAATAGTTATATATTATATATTAATTGTTTTTAAAATAATCTTCTGCATTTCAGATTAAATTGTGGATATATCCAGAAGGAACCAGACGCAGTACTGGTACGATACATTCGTTTAAGAAAGGTGCTTTTCACGTTGCTATACGTAATCAATTACCAATAGTACCAGTTGTCTTCTCTTCCTATTATTTCTTATCCAAGAGGGAAAAGAAGTTTGAGTCTGGTACGTACCTTTTTCTTGTACAAAATATTAAACATTTTGTTTAATCTTCAAAAATTAATACTCATTGACGATTGATTATTTCAAGGTCGAGTTATTATAAAAGCATTGCCAGAAATATCAACGAAAGGGTTAACGATTGACAATGTTGATAGTTTGTTAGAAAAAACACGAAACATTATGATCGATGCTTTTAATGAAATTAATAGAGAGATACAATCTTCAAGTAATACTAGTAGTTCTTAAATAAAAACGACAAAAATATCATGTTAATATAAGTTGAAATAAGTTAGATATTGTTATATTTTATTGTGTAATTGTAATTATAACGGATAATGAATGTCAGTATTGTAAAAATGCTGCGATGCATAATGATTATTTTATTCAATGTTTTAAATTTAATGATAAAATAATCAAATAAAAAAGATCAACAATCAAATGAGAACTTGATCTCTTTAGGAAGATATCTATATTATACTTGAATCATGTGAATAGATCTTCTTCCTTGAAGTTATAAGAATCAAAAGTTTGCCAATTATTTTCTTCTTTTTACCGATTTTAATACTTATAACATATTTTAACATCTTGCATTTTTAGAGTTTATATATTTTAATGATGAGAAAATGTGACAGAAAGTGAAGATATTGTACTGTAAACGCTTATATTAAATATTTCTCTTAAAAACGAAATATTTCCTTGATCTGGGTAAGTATTTATTTTAAAAAAAAAATGGCTAAGTAGATATTGAAAAAGAATAATGAAAAAGAAATTATGATTATGTAAGAAATAGTAAAAATTATGTAAGAAATAATAAAATTGGACAATGATCTGTTTAATACAATAGATTCTTAAAAAAGATTCTTAAAACCTTTTATAAAGGTTGCATATGATAAATTAGTTTGTTTATGATAAAATGTAAGAAAGATAATGATAAAGGAATAAATAATTAATTAAAAAATGAGAAATAGAAAATCAAAACTGAAATATAAAAAATAATAAATAAGATTAACATTTTAATGAAAAGAAAAATATAACTAATATATTTAAATAATATATAATATATAAATAATAATATGTATAAATAATAATATGTATAAATAATAAATATAATAATATATAAATAATATATCTAATATATCTAATATATATAAGAACATATAAAAGGTTTTGTAAAGTAATATTTATAAATATAACTCAGAAAAAGCTTGAAATATTACTAATAATTTTATGAATCGTATAAAAGAAGAAAAAGATAATTTAACAAATAATATACATATAGGTAAGTGAATATTTATATATTTTATATTAATTTTCAAAATATTATATATTAAATTATGGATATTTCCCAAAGGAAGCAGATATAATATTAATGCAGAAAAATACCTTTCTCGTGCACAATTACCAATATTGCCAATACCAATATTTCTCTTTTTATTATTTGTTTTTAACGATAAGGGAAAAAGACATTTGATTCTGGTAAGTCTTTTTGCTATATAATATATAAATATTAAATTTATCATTTTAATAATAAATATTAAATCTATGATAGGGTTGACTGTGATAGGGATTAATATTGAAAAAGAAAAAGCACAAATATCATTTTGAATGTTTTTAATCATTAGTATAATCTTGACATAATACATTTTAGATTATAGGAATCATATCATGGTGAAATTAATGGATTTAAAAAAATTTTGTTTCATTTTGATTGTAGTTAGAGAAGATGACATATGCATGCATGCTATTTTCAATTTCTTAATGATGCATGTGTAATTTCATATTTATTATTAACAAATTTATTATATTTTTAACGAATATTACCGTGATATTACCAGCGAAATTCATTGGAAATAAATCATAACATTACAAGATTTTTTGTACAACAAGCAAAAACTGTTTTGTAGATAGAAGAATGTGACAATATGTTCTGTCTGTATGTTTGTAAACTGTTCAATGATTTCAAGGTTTATAAAGATTCTGTTCATTTTGCGGTGATTTATCAAAGAGTGAGAATATAAAAGTACTACGTTATACAGATTTGAATTTCTGGAATTCGGAAAGAAATTGATTAAAAATTAAAATAGATTCTCGAATTAAAAAAAACAATATTTATCAGTGTTAAAAATAATTAAAAAAGCCTTAGAATATAATTTTTCAAAAAATGTTGAAAATGATGAACATCATTGTTGTCTGATCGGAATAAATGAGCTATTTTGCGTATAGTGTCCAATTAACAAATAATGAAGACAAATAATGAAGAAAATTGGCATTAATATAAGTGTTAATCGTGTATTAAGATAGTGAAAGACTAAGAGATTGAAATTAAAAGAAGAAACCTGCGTTAATAGCGAAATACAAAAAAGAACGCTTCACTTTTGTGAAATTGATAGAAATGAAAGCGAAAACTTATATTTTCGAACAAAAGAAATATAAATCTTGACGGTGTCATGATTTTTATTTTGAAAAAACAAATATTCAATAGAAAAATGGATAATATTAAATATTTGAACTTGATAAGAAAAAAAATAATTATCTAGAATATATTTCTAAATTTGAATATATTTTTCAACAAAATAATGCAGCTACATACATTGCAAAATAGTTCCAATTTTATTTTAATAGAAAAAAATTTATTTTATCATGATTTGCATATTTCTTGGATATTAATATAATTGAAAATTGTTTTGGGAACAATTGCTCATGCGATGTATAAAAATATGCAAAAACAAATAATATGAACACAGAGCAATAAAATAACTTATATGAACAATTGCAATACAGATTTGATAAATTACCAATATCTAGAGAAGTGGATTACAATCTAAAATTATAATGTTGTTACGTAAGATATGATATTATGCATATTCATCATTTATTTTAAATTCAGGTAATTTTACAATTACAAATTCATGAATAATAGATTTTCTCTCAAGTTTATTCAATGCAAAAAATTTTTGCAATATAAATTTTGTATAAATTTGATTGCATTTATTTGCTAGTTATATAACTCTTCTTACATGTAATATGTAAGAAATGAAAAAAGAAAAATAATGAAAAGAAGTTTTTTAATATTCATTTTATTCAATGAAAACTATTATATTATTATAATTACATTATATTTACATTATTAATTTAAGATTAATTTACATATATATAATAATTTACATATATAAATTGATTGAAAATAAATTAATTATTTAAATCATGAATACGTCATGAAATGATAAAAAAATTTATTAAGAAAAAATTTTAAAATAGTTTTATTTATTTAAAAGAAATTTTAATGTATAAATTATAATTTATACATTATATATAGAAAAATATATATACAAATATAGAAAAATTTGAATTTCAATTAATTTAATTTAATTTATTTTAATTTTCATATGCATCATATATTAAATAAATTTATATAATTCATATACATATATACATTCAATAAAAAATATAAAAAAAAGGATGCATATATCTATAATAAATAAATCTAGGAACATGGAATATTAATAGTCATTTAGTTATTGAGACTAATAGAGTTCACACCAGAAAAGAAGTTTCTCAAATTGAATTTATATTTCTTAAAATTGTACCAGTGTACTAATGTCTATATTTTTTTAACAAACTACAATATTGATTTTAATAGTGCGATACAACATATTAGTGTATTTAACGTCAAAATAAAGAATAATATCTGTTTATTTCGAGATGTATCTTTTATTGATATGTGTTTCTCTTGTCTTATATAAAATGAGCAAAACTTTTCGTTTCTATACAAAATTCGGTATTTATTTTTTATATACAAATATACTTTCACTTTTTTTATTACCAATTTTTATATGTCTACCAAGAAGTGAAAAAAATTTATTGTAAGTAACTATTTGAAGTACATTTAATATTTAAATTTATAATTATTCATAATTATTTATAACGAAAAAGAAATATATATATTCATTCCAGAAATTATGGAAATTAAAATAACAAAATGCATTCTAGAACTAGAATAATTTTTTTTCAATAAATCGAAGCATATTTTTAAATATCTTTCTTAAGACATGTGTCGTCGAAAGAAAATATGAACATTTTTTTCTATTTCAATGATAAGAAATATTTTTTTTCTACGAATCAGTGATAAAGTGAATGAAATCAAAAAAAAAAAAAAACAATTCTTGAAATATCTATATCTCTTATATTAATTATTATAGATGTATAACAATTATAGATATATAATTAATATAGATAATTAAAGAATTCTATGAAAGTTAATTGTATATATGCTAAATTTTTTATAAAAGAAGAAATAATAATAAATTTTTAATTTTATTGTCACTATTATGATAATTTAATTTATTTACACTATTTATTAATATTATATTAGATATATATATATAATTTATAATATTATAATATTTATAATATTTATAATATTTATAATATTAATATTATATTAGAGATATATATATATTAAATAATATATTTTGAAATATATTTTCAGAACAGTGGCACTAGTATTTGCTCCTATTACCAAAGCTATGGGAGTAAGTTGGGAGATAAGAGGAAGAGAACATTTAGAACAAGAGAGATCATGCATAGTAATAATGAATCATCAAAGTCTTTTAGATTGTGTTGGACTGTATCAAATATGGCCGTTTTTGAAAAAAAGCACAATTATATCAAGACGAATAATTTTTTATATTTGGCCAAGTGGTTTAATTTGTTGGTTTGGTAAAGTGATATTTATAAACAGGATGAAATCGAATTTAGCCCGAAAAATTCTTAACGATGCCACGGATTATATTAAAGAAAAAAAGGTAATTTAATAATCGTAACATGCAGGCAAATCAATCATTTTCATAAATATTGTATATTAATATTTTCTTTATATGTCTTTTGCATAGATGAAATTATTAATATTTCCCGAAGGAACTAGACGCAATAATGGTGAAATTCATGCATTCAAGAAAGGTGCCTTTTATATTGCTATACGTAATCAGTTACCTATAATACCAGTTGTTTTCTCTTCCTATTATAATTTTTTATCAAATGAAGAAAAGAGATTTGATTCTGGTAAGTCTTTCTTTTATATAAATATTAAATTTTATTTATGCATAAAAATTAATATTAAAATACAAATTAATAATTGATTATTTCTAGGTCGAGTTATTGTAGAAGCATTACCAGCAATATCTACAGAAGGATTAACACTTGACGATATTAATAAATTGTTGGAAAAAACACGAAATAGTATGATCGATACTTTTGAAAAAATTAATAAAGAAGTACAAGTGAAGTGTTTTTAATACTTTTGGATGGTAGCAATCATATTATTATAAATAGATATTCAATCATATTATTATAAAAAAAAATTTATTATTCTCTATTCTATTAAAAGTAATTCAATTTGAATATCTAAAATATCTGATTATTTGAATATCAGAGATATATATTTTTTGGAATTAGATGAAAAGAATGATATTTTTATCTTTTAATAAATAATGATAGAACAGAAATGATAGAATAATGATAATACATATCGCTAATTGTAAGATTATAAAATAATATTTTACAGAAAAAAATATTTTTATCATATAGTCATCAAAATATAATTGAGAGTTTATTAATTGAGAGTTAAAATATCGTTAAGTAGAATTTAAAAAACAGCATAATCCATAAACTTGAACAATTTTTATAATTGAAATAAATTATAGAAGAATAATACAATACATTAATACAATAATATGAATATATATGATATTACGAATTTTTTTAAAAAAATATCAACATTTTATAATCATACTATAAATATTGTTTTCTTGAAAATAGAATGTACAGAAAATATGAATGTACAAAAATAAGAAATGTATAATATGTATATACATGCAATTAAAAAGCGTATAAAGAACTAATATAAAAAATAAGAAATGAAAAAAAAATTAGAATTATGATGTAAAAAAATTATGTTAAATTATAAGTAAAAAAGTTTGTGTTAAATAAAGGAAGATTGTGAGACAGAACAGTATCACAATAAGTTATTTTACTCTATTTATGTATTTCGTTTTATTTAATGTAAAATTCAATTGTTTAATAATTTAATAAATAAAACTCAATTGACATTTTTATATAATTCACTTTTGTTTAGTTTAGCCTTTGGAAACCTTTTAAATTGTATATAATTGTATAAATTGTTTAAATTTTAAAAATTTTAGAAAAAAATTTTGAATTATCTATTTAATTATAATTTTAATTAAGATTATAATAAGTGATAAGAAAAATCGTATGGAAGAATATAATATAAGAACAGAAAATATTTGTGAAAAGGAAAGCAAGTGTGAGAAAGATAAGAAAATATGGATGTGTGCAAAATAAAAAAAAAAAAAATGAAAATATAATGTCTTTGCTAATATTAAGTAATTTCTACATATGTTATAAAAAAATGTTTAAAAGAAATTATGTTTACTATATATTTATTCTGGATTTATTAATAATATATATTAATAATATATATGTATGTTTAATAATAAAAAAATAAATTCGCTTCTAAGATTTTGAGATAAATAGTTTGCGATTTCTCAGTCCTTTTACCAAAAAGTATCATTGTTTTCTTCTTCCTATTCAAATCCTTTTTTGACAGTAATAGTCAATTGTAAATTATTTCATACATACATCAAACAATTATATCATATAAATAAACGAATCCTAGTCACCGATTATTGATTTTCCAAACATTTACTCAAGCAATTTGTCGAGATTTTATAAGCTTTAGAAAAATTGATGGATATCTATTATAAACAAATTTCAATATCCAAACGGTATGATATTTAATGAGGAATAGTTGGAATAATTTTCACAAATAAATTTCAAGAAATAGTGAATATGTTGCTAATATTATAGCAAAGCGATTATCAAGTGATTATTAACAAATTAATTATTATTTAAAAATATAAAAGAAAGACATAAGAAATCGCTACAAAATTAGAACAAGAATTCTCCAGTAATTTTTCCTTCTTTCTAATTCTAATAATTTTTAAAGAATCGAACAATCGTTGACAATCTGCAAGCGAATGGATTATTGATCAATGATCGATATTATGCGGTTCTTATAATATTTTATCGAGAAAGATATTAATATTTCTACATATTTATTGCAATTAATAAAATGCAATCATAAAATTGAAAATTTATGAAATATCTTTGAATAAAATATAAACAAAGATGAATCAACAAATTTGATATAATTTTTATATTATAATTTGAAATATAGAAATATTAAAAAGAGCATTATATAAAATTAATATATTGTAGAGAAAATAATAAAAATTTGAATCATGAAATATAATTAGAAGCTCACTTATTGGATCATTTTAGTTATCAATTATTAATTTTTAATTATTAAAAAAATTACAAGTTTTTAATTATGTGAGCCCAAAGATATTTCTAACTTGCTTCATCTAACTTAATATTATAAACATATAATATGAGAGAACTTATATAATAAATCAAAAATATATTTCAAATCAAAAATATATTTTAAAAATATTTTATATTTTAAAAATATGTCATATATGACCAGTAATAAAAAAATGCATAGCAAGAAGAAAATTTTTTTGTTTTATTTGCTCATTTGATTTATTTATGGTGATTTGCCGGATTGATATTTATAGATATATACGAATTCAGAAAAAACTCGATTGGTAAGAAATAATATTATAAAGAACATCAACAGAAAAAGGTAATTAATCATTTAATTAACATAATATATAAGGTGTTAATATATTCGTTCATCTTTAAAAGTCAATCATCTAGAGATCAAACATAAAAGTCGATATACAAAAATGTTGGGTGAGATCTACTTATTAAGTTACAACTTTTTGCCAAATGAAACAAGGCACTAGATGATAGATGATAGAGTTGGACTTATCTCATTCGTTTTTATTATAATCTTCAATTACTTATTTATAACTTAATAAATAAGTCATAACCGTGTATATGCATATATAAATTATTTTAATCTCTTGAATTGATCTCTAAAAATCTTACGAACATATTAACATTCAAAATTAAAAATTAAAAATTTTCATTGTTTCATTATATTAATTTTTTTTTGCATGTTTTTTTATATTTACATGTTTTTATTATATTTTATTTAAATTATGAATATATCCAAAAGAGAATGTATCACCAGATGAAATTCATAATTAAAAAAGTGTGTTTCACATCGTTATATCTACAGTCAATATTTATATTATCAATTGTCTTTTTTTCTTTTTATTTTTTATTTTCCAAAGAAGAGAGATTCAATTCTGATAAGTCTTATTCGTGTTTTATTAATGCAATAGCTTAAATTTCAGTCAAAATATCTCTCTTGAATTACAATGATTCAATCTTATCCAACGACTCAATATCTTGAGCTCAGTATAATTCAAATTTATTGACAATTACATACAGTGAATAGACGTAGCAAAAACAAGTTAAATAAATATAATAGCCTAAGCAACAATCGTCGTGACAGTGTGTTTCAAAGAGATTCGCATTACAATTGAATTCAAATTTTTATAATTTTCATTTTATTTTCCTATTTAAAAAAAAACATTATTATTTTTTTAAAAATTTTAATGTCGAATTCAAATTTATATTAGTGTATATCTTTCTCATTTGCTTTTAGTGTTTTTATTAATTTTCATTGTCATAAATTTAGCATATTGTTGAAATAAATTCGCAAAAATTACAATTAAAAATTACAATTAAAAATTACTCGATACATTGGAATTTAAACAAAAATTATTAAGATTGGAGGACAAATATTGATAATAAATATTGATTATAAATTATTTATTTTAAAGTCGAGTTTATTAAAACTTATTATTAAAACATTATCATCAATATCAGAGGGGTTGTCGTTTGATGATAATGGTTAATAAAGTGTTGAAAAAAACGCGAAAGCATAATGGAAATTTTGTGTGCGAATATTAATTGTGAAATTCAAATTTCAAGAATATTCATTATTTCTTAATTTTTAAAATGTTAAATATTTACGAAAGCTTTGATTCTACATTTGTATCTTTTTTTCTTCTGAGTTCCTTACAGTATACAAATAAAAGTATTCTTCCATTTCTTCTCGTTTCAAGGAACTTGAGTACAATTATAAAAAAATTCATTGATCATGACGAATACATGGTAACGCTACAGGTATCTAGTACTTACACGTGAAGAGTGAAAAACGAAGGGGATGATCGTCAATCAATTCCTTTCGTGGAAGAAATAAGATTCATCGAAAGGAAAGGTATCAGAACAATTCATTCACAGTGCGATCTCGAATTGTGTGAACGTCAAAGAAATTCTTGAGTATTTTATTCTTTACACACAATTAAATTCGTTTTCTACAATTGAATTCTTTTTTTTTTTTTTACATTGAATTGTTTAAAATGTCGCGTAAAGTTTTTTTTTTGTGTTTTGTTTTGTTTCAAAAAAATTTTGAATCGTTCATTCTATTATTAACTTGTTATTTCAAGCTGTGAGATTGGTATGAATGATGAGTACGGCAGTTGGTATGGGAGAATATAAAAGAGAATGATTGTAGGAAGGGGAGCAGATGTGTGTATGAGAGTGATAAGCAAACAAGCATGTATGAATAAGTAAAAGCGATAGCAAAACGTGAAATCTCGAATAGTGCAAAATATGATCAAAGTTAGGAGCAAAGTTAAAAATTGAAAATGTCAAATTCGCAATAATACAGTGCGTATTTGTTTTTAATATTTTTGCTTGTTGAATTTTATTTTTTTAAATTGTGCAAAATTCATTCTTCTGATCTGTTGAAAGTTATAATATATATAAAATTATAATTACAATAATTTTAATTATTTGAAAAGCATTTGATGAAATTTTTCAATATTGATTTTAGCATAATTTTAAATATTTTGATAAATTTTATGATGAAATAATTGATGAATATACAGATCTGAAGAATTTTTTTCATTTTGTTAGAATTTAGATATTCTGCAATAAGATACTTTTATTGATACAAATTATGAAATTATTTGTTGCCATTTCTTTTTATATTTGCTTTTATTTAATATACTTATATATTTTATTTAATTATTTATTCCAAAGAAAATAATTATTGTTTATAAATATATGAACTTATTTCTCTATATTATTTTCCAATTTTATGAGAAATACAATTTCAAATTTAAAAAAAAAAAAATTTTTTTTAATCTCATTTTTTTTATTATCTTTCCCTCCTTTTTTCAAGTTCATTTTTATAGATATTGAATGATAAAGATTGAAATTCATAATATTTCATAATTATCATTTTCTATTGTTAAACCATGAAATATGCAAATCGCAATTTGACATTTTAAAATTTGTCATATTTACACGATTATTATATAGTAATAATAATAAGTTTTATTTAAATTAAGATTTTCATTTTTAAGATAAAATTTTTATTTTCTTGTTATCAATTTTTTTTTAAATTTTACAATACTACATTATAAATAGTGAAAATGAATATTGAAAAAATTTCATAAAATTGCAAAATGAATCAGAATTAATTTCATTAAGATAAACAATATCCATTAACATTTTAACTGTTCACGTTATTTTAATGTATTAATGTATTATAACTATCTATGTAAGTATTGCAGATAAAAAAGTATATCGATAAAATTGGATGTATATTATATTAAAAACAAGAAACAAGAACAGTTTCGCGTATTCAGGTAAACGAGTAGGAACAAAGTTCAAAATAAAAAAAAAAAAAAACAAGTCATCAATTATAATTAGATAACTAAAATAAAACTTCAGAGCAATATTAAATGCAATTAAAATCCAAAAGAGATCATACATATAAAATTATAACACTTTGATTATATTTTTCAGTGCTTCGATACTCGTCAGTGATACAAGGTGTAAACATTATGTAAAAAAAGTGTGATAGTGCAGTGTAAAGTGTAAAAGAAATATTTTATGTTACATTTTTTATTCACTGAAAATGATATTTTTGAAATTTGAAATGTTCCTCGTCATTTTCATTCTTGTGTTAACATTATTATATAAAAAGAATGGAACTTTTCTTTATTATTTCAAATACATTTTCTACGTTGGAATTTCAAATGTAATTGTATTTTTGGTGCTGCCAATTTTTATGATTCGACCGAAAAACATACACAATTTATTGTTAGTAATCGCACTAATTTTGAATATACATATTATTTGCTGCGACATTTACGTAACACAAAAATTATAATTTCAAAGAAAATAAATTTGAATCGTGAGATAACAAGTTGAAAATTCATTTATAGATTTTTATTAGGAAAAGTAGAAACATTAATTTCTTTTTTTTTTTTTTTGAGTTATGTTACTATGTTGCAGTAAATAAACGACATAAAACACAATAATGGTAGAAATTGGCTAATTTTTGATTTGATTGTTAATGAAAAATATTTATAAATTATTCTAGTTATTTATAAAATGATAAAAAGAATATTAAAAAAGATATTATTTTATAAATATATTATAATAATATTAAAGTATTAAAGTATTAAGTAAAAAATTGATATTTAATATTTGGAATACTGATATAGTATTAGAATAAATAATATCGATAAGATGCAATTTTATTTTATCTTCTTTATGAGAGAGATTCATTTATATAAAATGTTCTGTATATTATTATCTCCGTAGTATTCTATTCCATCTTGGCAAATATATGGACCTATATTAATCTATCAAAGACAATTTATTGATCTTAATTAATCCGACAATAGTCAATTGTTCATTTCTTTTATGCACACAAACACAACACTTTTATTACAATATTTTTGTTTAATATCAATATATCATAACAATATTAGATTAGATTAGAAAGTTAATAAATAAAATGTGTGAAAAGAGAATTTTGTATTTGTTATATAATATGCTAATAAATTCAATTTAGATAGAAATAATTCGAAATTTATGTATATTATACATTTTAGACTTCTTAAAATCAACAGATTTATATTTTAAAAATTGGCCAATTTTTTTACCATTGTTTTTCTTTATTTTACTATTTTTTTTTCTTTATTTCTCTATATTTTCTTCTTTTATTTTTTTTTTTTGCATCATTTATGCTTTTATACATTTTAAATAATATGCAAATGCAACAATGAGTATACAAGAGATAAAAAATTTTAAATATATAAAATTAATTTACATTATAAATAAATACATTATAAATATAATATATGAGATATATTTTTATGTATAATATATGTAATTTATATAAAATATATGTTAATTTATTTACATTAATTATTAACATTATTATCAACATTATATGAAATATTCTAGAATCGCATCATATGCATGTTCTTGGATTACTAAAATCATGGAAATACATTGGGAATTAAGGGGAAAAGAACATTTAGAACAAGACAGGGGATGTATTATAGTATCAAATCATCAAAGTGCTTTTGATATTTTGGGAATGTATCAAATATGGCCAATAATGAAAAAGTGTACAGCTGTAGCAAGACGAGAACTTTTCTATGTTTGGCCGTTTGGTTTAGCTGCTTGGTTTGCCGGATTGATATTTATAGATAGAAGAAATAAAGAAAAAGCTAGATTGCTTGTAAATGATACTGCAAAGTACATCAAAGAGAGAAAGGTAATTGTTAATTTAATTTAATAAATGTAATATAATGTCAATATATTCGTCGTATATCTTAAAAGAATTAATTTTAGAATTTAAAACAAACTTAAAAATCGATGATAAAAATGTTGGCTAAGATTTATTTATTAACTTATAGCTTTACATTAGATGAAGCGAGAAAGAAATACATCTATTTCACTCTTGCCGCTTTACTTCGTATAATCTAAATTTTAATTACTTATAACTTGATAACTAACTTGATAACTAAATCGTATATATATATATTGTTTTAATTTCTAGAATTAATCTCTAAAAATCTCATGATAATAAAATTAACATTTAATAGAAATTCATAATTTTTATTGTACACATCAATTTATTTTTTGCATATTTTATATGTAGATTAAATTATGGATATATCCAGAAGGTACCAGACGAAATACTGGTGAAATTCATCCATTTAGAAAAGGCGCTTTTTACGCCGCTATACATAGTCAAATACCTATATTACCAATTGTCTTTTCTTCTTATTATTTTTTATCTTCTAAAGAAAAGAGATTTGATTCTGGTAAGTTTTATTTATGCATGAATATCAAGATTTATTTCAATATAAATATAACGAATATTAATTAATTATCTTAAGGTCGAGTTATCATTAAAACATTACCAGCAATATCTACAGAAGGAATGACGATTGATGATGTTAATAAACTATTGGAAAAAACACGAAATGTCATGAGCGAGACTTTACGTGAACTTAATCTTGAAATACAATCTTCTTAAACTAAAATAATTGTTTTAATTAAGGTTGTAAATCGAGAACTAGTCTTCTTTATATTTGTCACTATTTTAATAGTTTTACATATATTAATATTTATTCGAATATTTTTCAAATAGTCATCGTATTACAAAATAATTATGAGCTCTGATGTATAACGATCGGAATACAATACAGTAAATAAAGATTTTTAATTTTTTTTGTAACAGATTTTCACTAACACAATGGTATAAAATTTTATTATAATTATTATAATTATGATGTTTAATTTTTATATTTATATTATCAAACATTTTTCTGTTATGACATATTGTATATGATAAAAAAAAAAAAAAAAGAAAAAAATTGGTAATTGCATTTCTAAGACGTCAAGAAAAAAATCCAAGAAAAATCGAATATGATTTATTATAATTATTTTGTATATTTAATGTATGTATATATTTATAGTTGATTATCAATAAGATCAAAATTCGATATCCATACATAATTCATTCTGTATTTTGAACTTCAATGCGCGTAAATATCTTATTCCTTTAAATACATTATTTATTAATTCCTTTTTTATTTATATCTTTTTTTTCTACAAAAAATATTTCTCGATTATTCGTTTCATCTTTAAATTAGATCTGAAAGTGAACCGAGTAATCAATGCTGATTTATACAATTCTCAGTTGACAATGAATCACGACGTGATCTCGTTAATGTGCTCTAAATGTTAGTGATCTGTGATTTGGGTCAGTTCCTTGGAAAGAGAACGATTGCGTTTTCACGAAACATTTGCATAAAATCGCCTGAGCAAGAGATGAAGAGTAATCGTACGGTATGTTGATTGTTTATTGCTCGTAACGAAACTATAGTGTTTTATCTTCTTGTACGCTTCATTAGGAGGTTGATAAAAACATTCCATTTCCGACCAATGCTCTTCTTCTGAAGGCCGTTTTGGTATTCTTCTTCTTCTTCTTCTTCTTATTCTTCTTAAGAATGTTGAACTTCATCGTTGGAAAAGATTCTTTGTTGGACTTGTTTCATTATGCTTGAGAATATTTGCTCATAATGATGCAATTTTGAAAAGACTGGTCTAAAGATATTTCTTTCGACGAATTCTCATTAAAGTAAGTGAATTATTTTAAAAATTTCTTCGTAATTATTCATATTTTTGCTATTATATATCATGTTTAAAATTGCTTAATAATTTACGGAATTAATTAGAATTTATTTATTTATAATTATTCTTTATACTTTATTATTTTATTTGTATAATGATACAATCTTTATTCGGAGAAAAAATATCTGTGACGTGATTTTTGTTTGCTGCAATGATTCACATTGTAGTTATCAATATTGATAACATTATATGTACATATTAAATATTGCATCATATAAATTGTTTCAGTAAAAATATATTTATTAATTATTTATTATTTTGTTATTTGTATTTTTACCTACCATAATTTTTAAATTTGTTCGATATTATAATTATGATATTATTGAAACAAAATTTAAAACTAACATTCGATCAAGTAAATTTTATTTCGTATTATTTAAATTATATTGAATAGTATTGGCTAGATTGAGCATTATTAATATAAATCTCAAGTTTTTACATTTTCTTCATTAATTGTAAATCCAATTCGATTTTAAGAAAAAATGATTCCTATTTTTAATTATTTAAAAAAGAATGTAAGTAATTTCATTCCTAATTAATATCAAATCTTTCAAACGAAGTTCGATAATTTCAAATTAAGTATTCAGAGAATTTTCTCACGAAACCAATCGACCAGTTGTATAGATCGTTGCTTGTTTCAGTGACAAAAGAAGCATGCAATTTCCGCCGAAGGACGAATGTCTGTCGGCAACAAGATACAGAGTTCGCCGTTAGAATCACCATTGCAGTGGACAGTATCGACGTTCGTTTGGAATAGCCCTGAAAAGATTTCTTCGAAGAGAATGTTTGCCTTGTTACAAAGAGAAACGTCGTAGCCTTCAAGGACTTTGAGGCTTCCTCGACGTTAAGTGCCTAACGAACGTCGAATTTCATTCACTGAATCTCTCAACAGGTGTCTCGATATGTTTTAAAATCTTTATCTTCTCATTGATATATATATATAATTATTATTTTTAGTCACAAGATTTATTAAGTGATTTTTATATGCTCAGTACAGCATATTTAATTTTTATCTACGTGATAATTATTTGAAAAAGAAATTTTGACGATATTTAGATATGCTGTAGAAGATGAGATTTTGAAAAACTTTTTTCATCCATATATTCGTCGCTCGATCTTAGTTTTTGAGATATTTGCAAAAAAAATTGTTACTATCAGAATTTCAAATGTACGATAATATATATGTAAATATGCGATCATTTATTTTCTGTTAATACATATAATACATAAACATATATAAACATCACGATATAACGGACGAATCTATTAAGAAGCTGCTTTCTTATTATTATTCTTGACCGATATAAGGTATGATATCAATAATTATAATTTCTTATAATTTCATCAAAGATTGTTTTATATTTTATTTTTGCGTTTCGAGAATTTCTGGATAAATATTAAATTTGATGATATTTATCCAGAAATTCTCGAATTTATCTTTTTTTATCAATGAATTTGTTTACAAGTAGAAATGGAAGATAAGCGATTGATGAATACATTCATCGATGTATTATATAAAATTTAGAAACAATTTATTTTTATTAATATATAGAAATTACGAATATTTTGTTGTAATCTGGACTACAATCATTGTAATTTTTGAGGCATAAAGTTTCGATCGAGTTATCGTACCTCCACCTCGTTATCCCAATAACTAAAGTGGAGACCAATTTAAGTTTGCGTTAGATGAAGCGAGGCAGAGACAGAATGAGATGCGATATAATGGTCTCACTTTATCTTTGTCTTTATTTAATGCAAATCTTGCAAATTATCTTATAATTTAAATAAGCTTTAATCAATATTTTTGTACTTATTTTGCTTTTTAGATTCGACTCTTCAAAGATGTTGCATGAGTATATTAACATTAACAATATTAACACTCTGTACAAGATGAAACAAGAATAAACACTCGTTGTTATTGTGCGATAATCGTATCTTGTTGTTAAAATAAATTATACTTCAATTAAGTAAACTAATATAAAATAACAAAATTGAATATCTCCTGCCATTACAGAATTAAAATACACAATAAATTAAAACCAATTATTTGTTATTCAGCAATGTTGGATCAAGGAATTTCAATGAAATCGTAAATAAACGAAACGAATCATAAATATTCAAAAACATCTTCGAAACGAAATCAACAGATTAATTATCATAAATGAACACAATTAAACAAATTATCTCTTCAGCTATTGTCGAAGTCACGTTCGCTTGTTTTTACAGATCGGCGCTTCTCCTAATGGAACGTCAGATATTTCTTTTTTTTTTTTTCTCCACATTCATTACATTCCCTCGTTACATATTTTTTTCCCCCTCCGATACTCGCGAAGCTGTAAGAAAAATTAGCCGGCCTCTACTTAATCCACGTTACCGAGCATGTCCAACTATGTGGATCAGAAACCGTGGTAACAGCTACGCGATTCTCGAAATGGCCATTATCGCGAAAGTGCGTTGCCACGATCGAAGCTTAATAATCCGGAAGTTGGACCACCACCATCGCCTACGCCGTTGTTTCTGTCCATAAATTCCTTTTCAAAAACGTAGCGACGCGTTCAATTAACGCGTCACTCGTAGACCAGAACCTTTTACGCACGATGGAACCGGTTGAATTTCCGGAATTATATTTTCTACGCGTGTTCCTCTCCTTTCAACTTATCTTCAATGTCTCTGTCTTTGTCCATTCTCGCTCGAGATGATTGATGATGGTCTATTGTACCATTGAATTTCGCTCGTGAATCGAAGGAAAGATTTGTTTGGCGAACGAAGACGAATAAGTGAGTATATTTATATTATAGGTACAGGGTGTGTTCGAAAGATGGAATTTGAAGAGTTTTTGGATTTTCAAATGGAATAATTTTTTACACGTTATTTTTGTTCCTTGAAATTTTCCTTCGAAAATCCAGAAAATAAAGAATATTTTTATTATTATTTATAATTTGGAGTTCTCGAAATCTGGATAAAGAATAACTTGCTTTTAAGAGTTTTTCGATGATATGAATTTATTCTTTTATTTGATCAATCTGGTCGAAGCTTGTTGATTCAAATTTCATCGATTTTATTGTTAAACGAAAGTGTAATTCGAGTTTATTTCGTAACACCCTGTATACAATTTCTGGCCACAAAAAGAAATCTTTATTCGCGAAGGTGTGCGTGAAATATAGAGGAAGATGAACCGATCTGAGAATCGATCTCATACATCATCTTGCTTATCATCGAATCAACACGGTACCTTTAAATCATCGTTTCGCGAAAGTCATAAATCATGGAACCAAATGAAAGCCGATAAATTGAATCGATTCATCGTTTGTGACTTCACGGAGGCAATATTTAAAAAAAACGGTACCGATAATTTTTAAATATTTTTGATAGTAGATTTTCTTCTACAAATCATCGTATCAAATTAATACGAAACCTATTAACTTTAACAAAGTTATTTTCTCTGTCTGGAAACAATCGATTCACGTGTGGATTCGATCGTGTGGATGAGAATAGTTGGTGCCATAGAAAAAAGCACACCACATTTAAAAATGGTTCGAAGAGAGACGAGTAGATGGGAAAGACGAGAAAGGTTTATTGGTACAGGTGCAATGTATCCACGCAGGTGCGTGGACCATGACCTGGGCGGAGTTGTTTCACGGCCTTCGATGGAGCACGAAGGAAACGCGACGAGAGAAGATGAGACCACGGGTGCAAAGATCTCTCAAGGACGTACCTCTCGTCCTTGTCTCGCTTAATGAGTCTCTTTAGAAATGTGCACGTACGTTTTCCAGGTGGATGTACGGGTTGTAACGAGTGCCCAGTGCCGAGGTTAGATCTTTGGACGCCCTCAGAATGGGGCTGTAATCCTACGCCAATTCCAAAGAATCGAAAAGTCCGAGTTCTGTTTCTACTTATAGCGGTGGAAAACAAGGTATACTGTTTTGAGAAATTTGATTTTTGTCGAGAATTAAAAGTTCCTGTGTATGTAGAGCATGATAGATTACACGTGAAAATCTTTTTTTGAAAGCGTGAAATTAATTATCTTGGTTCAGTTCGAATATAATTTATAATAGAAATTTTTTTTTTAGAATGATAGAATGATAGGTCATTAAGTTATTGAACATTTAAAATTATTGTATAGAAGAATAGTAAATATATATAATTATGCTATTTCCAATTTTCGTTAAAATCAGAATTTTTGGATTAGATAAATTTATTTGTAAGATAAGAATTTGCGAATCTTGATAAACTTGATATAGTTAACGATTTAATGCAGAATAAGATGCATTAAAAATTATGAATCGTAAATTTGCAGAAAAGCAATATATATCCAAGTATAACATAATCTCATTTGAATTGCTTTTTAATTAACGAGATTAAAAGATATTTTTTTCCACGCATATAAGAATCTGAAAAACTTGTGTTAAATAATTCATCATATATTTTATAATTTATTACGTTCGTTGGAAATCTATTTTTTATAAACATTTATGCATTGATACACAATATTAGAAACATCGAAACGAATAATAATTAAAAAAAGAAAAATAGAAAAAAAAGGTAAGATAAAAATTTGTCTTATTTATAAATTAAACTTAAATTAAACATAAATAATCATAAATTCCTATTAAATTACATGTATCATAGAAGTAATAAATAAGCACTTGTGCGTGTCTCCTTGTGATGCATCAGAGAGCGCCAATGGTTTGCATTCGTATATACCTTCATGGTCTCCCTTTATTCGAGTTGATCTTCGACAAAGAGGAAAAGTAAAGAGGAGAGGCAAAAAGTAGACCGATCGAGACCTCGCATTTTTCTGCTAAGATACTCGTTCGAAGATCCATTACTGACTCGGGATAAATATAGACTCAATGAGTTAGCAAATAGCTGTTAAAAATAGCAGATTCTCTTTCTCTTATGGTTTTATTGAATACAGTAAAGGTACAATATACAGTAACATACAACATTAGAATTAATTTAGGACATTTAATTATTTTCAAGTTTCCTAAAAATATACTTTTTTTGATTCCTTGATTGATTCCTTTTGCAAAATTTACTAACCAATAATATTGAAAAATTAACAAATTGTAAGTTACTTGGATTATAGGCTAATTTTTTATAATATAGTGAAAGAGAATAATAAGATTATTTGATGATTTTAAACAAGTAGATTGTTTGAGTGGTATTAATCTTTTCAGCCCGACTTTTCTTTAATCAATTTTTATTTCTTCTTTTTTAGAAATAGATAGTGAGAATTATAAATTAAGAATGTGTATTGATCAAATTTATAATTTGTATCAATCAATGACAGTGTTTAGAAAATATAATACATAGTCATTTAAGATAAGATAATGGAAATCTAGAAAAGTGGAACTCTGACACTGTGGATCTAAAATGTATACAATTTTATGAATGATAAAATATGATTAAAAAATATACATCCAATTATAATCGTTAGATACTTTGAAAAAATAAAATCATGAAAATTTTAAAAGAATTTTAATCAGAAAGAAAGACTTCATGATAAATAAATTAATTAGTAACACGAGTCATGTTTTGAAATTGAATAACGTAAAGAATTCATTATGAAATCATGGTGAACGATTAAAAATGCAATTAACATGCTATCGAGCATTTCCCTACTTCGAATTAAGATTCATGGAAGGAAGCGTGAATTCTTTGAATATAAATTATCTTATTATGTTATATCTGTCAGTTAAAATTAATTAATAATGATTCGATGTTACCAAGATATTTAATTTAAAAATCGTTTCTAAACGATTAATAATATGAAAGTTGTTTGTTAATTTCTATAAACATAATGTAGAAAAATATTTTGATGTATAGTTTTTGAAAATACTATAAAAAAAAAAAAATAAAATAAAGATATTTTTTTTACAGGTTCAATCAGTTATAATAATTTATATCATTCTTTGCGATTAGTATTCATTACTATTGTTATTAATTTAATTTTAATTAACTCAATTAACTTTTCTGTAAAACATACTGAATATCCATAAACGATATTCAATTAATTTTAATGTAAAATTTATAACATAATAATACTATAACAAAATTTTATTCGATCAATTTTTTTTCAAGGAAATTTACAACAAATTCTTAGAGATAAAAATTAATCAATTGAATCGTCCGACCGGATACAGCATCGCCGAAACAGAAGACCGGAAGTACGAATGCTGGGAACGATCGAAAATTTGCATCTACGTGATTCCATTGAGAATCACGTAGGGACACTCAGCGTAAATGTACAAAGAATTTTACAAAGATCTTTCTTTTTAAACGAATACCAATTAAATAAATAATGCAGAGACACATCTTTTATGGTTTTCAGAATAAAAACCTGCATCTTCGTGCATCATGTGAAAAAGAGG